GGTAGCAGACATAGGCAGCCAGAACTATCTTATTTATTATAAAGATACACCATGAAGGACAAACCCAATTGTATACTGAAGCCTGTAATGGTACATGCCAAAATGTACAGTACTATACATAAAAGTGCACTGTCACAACAGATTAAGAAAACATTTTTTTTTTTTTCCTTTCAGAACTATAAAAGCATCCCCCTTTACTCTCCCCTCAGAGAGGAAGGAATGTTGTGATAAGAGGCAGTACAGAGCATAGGCAAACACGATGGATGTCAGCAGCATGTGAACTAGATGGGGCAGGACAGGAAGACACAGACCAGTTGTTGTGAGTGGGAAAGGCACAATCATGTCTACAAGGAAAATGAGACCATCTGGATCGTCTGAATTGACAAGGATGCAAAATGGGACAATACTGAGCACCGAGGCACAGGAGTGTGAAGAGGAGAACATGTAAAAGTTTCCAAAGACTCAATGGGCAGTAGCAATTGAGGAGTGGGGTAGGTGAGGAGGAGGTGGGTCATTGAAGAAATGCAACAGTACAAGAGCAAGGCTAAAACTCCTCTAAAATAGAAAGGCACTTTCACATGTACATACTACAGATGTACATTGACACGATTAGGTAACAGTCACAAGCAGGAAGCTACCAGTACTGCAACTGATCAAACCAACAGGAAAGGACAATACTGATTTAATAACGTGGGCAGGAGTTACCCTTAAGTACGTATGTAAATAGCAGTCTCTCCTGTTACACAGCCACTTACTATACTTTAAATATCTATGATAACCATCACACTACACATTTAACTTGGATGAATGCACTAAGGGGGGCATTCACAAAAGCACAGTTTATATATTTTCTTTTACTAAGCAGTTTCTAAGATAAGCAATATGGAACCCAGTACAATTACTTAAACATACAAAATTCCCTATGTAATTTAAAGATACAGGTACCGATCTCAATTATACCACGTAGACCTTTTTTTTTTTTTTCCAAAGAAAGTATACTAGGGCAAGTGAAAGCTCAAATTCCAGTTTCTTTTACTAATCTTAATGAAGCTGTGTCAAAGTCACCCTGACACCCCAGCCCGGCTGGAGGTTGGGTTTTCAGCTCAGGGGTTGGTCTATGTGGGTAGAGCCATTACTTCTAAGCTGCTGTGTGCTCAGGGCCTCTGTGGTGGATAATTCAAAGCAGGACTCGATCCCAAGGGCATGTCCTGTATTCATAACCTCTCACTGCTGTGGTCAGGAATAAAGGAGTGTCATCCCAAATTGGAAGTCTTCTAAAATCACTGATAGACTTACAAGCACTTTATCTTTGGGTTTCAGAGGCCCTAAATTTCAGGTTAAAGTTTCTTCAGTTTGTAGTCTCCAGAGGCTACGTCACACCCAAATGCTAAGGAGACCACTACACACTCACCCCCCTTTCATTTCCTTAATTATGAACCAATTTTGGGTGTAACAAAACACAAAGAGAATTTTTAATCAATACATTTTGACCCCTGGAGTTCTATATCTATTGATAACTGTTCATAAGCATTGCAGTAGACTAAGTGGGACCCTGCTGTAAATTATTCTGTTGATGGCTTAAGAGGCACCAAAGTCAGATTGGGTGAAAATACACAAACTGCTTAACAATGGTGCTTACACTTAACACAGAGCTCAACAAATGGCCACTCAACAGGTTGAAACATTTTAGACAACACTCCTCAAAAAAAATGTGTCCTATGTACCTTTTCCTTCCTATTCCAGTAATTCACTTCCCATCCTTTGACCCAAACCAAAAGCTAAGTTGGTAAATCTACTTCCCATGAGTTCCAAGATTGGGACATGAACACTGGTTCTGTCAGCTGTGACTACCTATTCTTCAGTATATGGAGTTAAGCTTTGTAGAACCATCATTCACCCAGCACTCAAATGACATCCTCTACACCCCGCCCCCCAAATGGCCCATAAGGCCCGATCAGGTCCCTGACACTGGGGGCAGAACACATCAGACTCATTATCTCTCCTTCACTCATTCCCTCTGCCTTCTCACCTTCCTACTATGTGTTGCACCTGTGGCTACAAAGGAGGCCAAGTACCAGGTGAGCCCACTCAGCTGAAGGTTTTAATGACTTTATTCTGGTGTTATTTTGGATCCTTGGGAAGTGGCCTTCTTATCCCTGAAATCTGAAGACTTTTACTAAGTAAAGTAAGGATAATGGAGTCCTTACAGAGTCCTATTCTTCCCATGGAACTGCAAAACAAAAAACAAACAAACAAACAAAAAAAACCCTCTGGATACAGGGAGAGAGGATAGAGACAGTAAAGGATAGAGCAATGGGAAAACAGTAGGAGCTACTTCCTTTAAGAAAGTTCTGAGGGTCTGGAGCAGCATGTTTTCTGCCTTCCAGGCAGCAGCAGAGTCCTGATTTGGTGGAATAAGCATCCTCTTTCCATTATTAAGTGTAAACAAAGAGAGGAGACACTAAGGAGAATTACTAAGGAGAAGCTGAAGGAATGAGTTTGCAGGAGTTAAGATTTACAAAACTAATGTTAAAGCTTGTTAAAGACGTAAGAGAATAAAAAGTTAAAAACATCTCTGCCCTTCTGATGCTGTTAACATCTTACTGTTCCGTCAAATAAGGAAAATAGTTTTTAAGTGTCATTTTTTTTCCTCCTCCAATTTCTGCAACAATTTAAAGTTTGCATGGCTCCCCTCTCCCCCCTACTTTTATTACTCTCACCTTTACTCTCTGCTTATGTGGTGACAGAGAATCAAAAACAAAAGTGGAATCTGGAGAGAACGGGGAGATTATATAGGAAAGGCATAGATAGGGAAGTAGTATTCGAAGTACTATTCAAAGGTTAAACCTGGCTGTATCTCTATTGTGTCTAAAAGTGCTGAAGGACCAGTAAAGCGCAAGAGAAATGATAACAAGTTGGACAAGATGCTGAGCTGGGCCTTTTTTTTATTTTTCAAAATGGGCAAGAAAAGATGGTTCTGAAAATTCAGAAGTTTAAGTTTCGCATTCCTAGAAATATTGAAAAATAAAATCACCCCTGAATCCATATGTGAAATTAGGACTTGGCAGGCAACCAGCCATGTGACTTTGAAATGTGACAATATCTTTACCTTGATTTCATCTCTTTTTATAATAGAATGATTAGACTGGCAAACTGAGGTAGAGATAAAAGTAATGATCATGATTTTAGTATAGATTTTGATTTTTTTCCTGCATGATGTATTCACCAATGGGAGCATAATTAAAGTTGAGACTGTATAACTCTTAGGTGTACATGGAATTAGTTGACTGACAGTTTGAAACCAAATACATGTCATCAGTGGATAAGTGTGAACCATGGTGTTCCAGAGGGGTTAGTTCTGGGCCATCTGTTTTCCTTCAAAAACATCTGTTCATCTAGAAATTCAATGACAGAGTAGATAAAATGCTCATGAGTTTACAGATGATATACCTTAGAATTGTACCTTAGTGAAAAGAACTGAATTCAAAGTAATCTTTGTAAGATGGAGGAAAAAAAATGGCATAAATATGGGCTAATGAAAAATGGTCCATGTGCTAGGATGTCAGAGAGAAAGAAGGTCCTTGATGGAGCTCAGCTGACCATGTGAGTTACGTAGAGACCACAGAGAAAAAAGAAAAGGCCATGGTTCCAGGGTGCATCAGGGGGAATTCATCCTGCAACCACGAGGTAATCCTCCAACCTTCGCCCTGGCATGGCTCTTCCTCAATGCAGCCAGTTCCGCATTGGTTCAAAGAGACAAATGGAGAGAACTATGATTTGTTTAGAATTATCAGGCCTCTACAGGAACTTTAAAGGAATTTATTTAGAATAAAAGAAGGCCGAGGGAACAAAGGGCTTGTATACTACTAGTTCTCCATTTCCACAGATAACACAGGGATTTAGGGGCGAGAGAGAAATATTTTCTAGGCAATTATTAACTACAGTTTATTGAGTAGGGTAACCAGGAAGTCCTTTAAATTAGACTATGTGTTATAATCCTTCATGAATTCTGGGGACAGACTTGGAAATCTTCCGGGGCCTGATCAGGATCACAGAAGAAATAGCAATGACAGCTCAGGAGGACTGTACCTTTCTCCTTCCCAGTTCAGTTCAAGCAGTAACTACAGAGGTTCTACTCCTTTCACTGAGCCTTTAACCTGGACGCAGGGAAATTATTTTTATGAAAGTAGTAATCACCCAATCCAAGCAGGACCCACTGTAACAACTCAAAGCCTTTAGCATGAGTTGCCTTCCCTCCCTGCCTCCACCTACCATGGGATCAGAATTGCTCATATCAGCTACTAAACAATGCCATTTTCAGCTTTCAGCCATTACCCCACATGCCAAGACCAACACTGGTTATACTCAGCAAGGCCTGGAACTCAAACCCTTGTGTCTTCAGATCAGGACATTTCTGATTCACCCAAAACCCAAAACCCAACCCACTGCTGTCAAGTCGATTCCAACTCATAGTGACCCTATAGGATAGAGTAGAACTGCCCCACAGGGTTTCCAAAGCTATAAATCTTTACAGAAGCAGACTGTTTCATGTTTTTCCAGCAGAGCAGCTGGTGGGTTTGAACCGCCGACCTTTCAGTTAGCAAGGAGCTCCGGTAGCAACAGCCGAGTGCTTTTAACCACTGCACCATGAGGGTTCTCTCCTGACTCACCCAGGCTATGCTAAATCTGAAGCATAGTGCAATGCAGAGCGGTGTTGCCTTCATTACAAATGGTGCAGCATTGGATTTTCAAGTAAATCTAAGTGTTTCTATTGTCTTTAAAAACGACATTATGTCCAGTTATTTAAAAAAAAATTACAAAATACAAATGCCCATGTTAATTTAGCTACTCTCAGACATTATATTTCAGAACATAGAAAAGCCAAAAGATCTCCAGTTATAAGCACAAAACTAATGAAAGCTATGGATTGCTGACTTTTGTCACTAATCCATTTTTCTTCTTTTTAATCACCTCTTCTGATGACCTTGTTCAGCTGGTTTTTACATTGTGCAAGACTTGTCTGTTGGACCCTGGGAAGGTGGGACAGGTCCTATGGTTGGGTTTGTTTTTGGAAGAATGGCGGGTTTTGGCCTGAGGGCCGGGGGCTTCAGCTGAACACCCATTCTGGGTGCCACCATTGGCTTAAAAGTACTCATTGTGTCACTGGAGGAGCTAGTGCTGCGTCGAATCTGAGGCTCAGAGCTCCTGAGGGCAACGTTGTGCAAAGGGCTGAGAGATTCTGTGGAAGAAGCAGGGGTGGGAGAGTTTTTCACTTGCTCCAAGGTATCCAGCACCACATCAGGGGCATGCTTTGCTGTACTCTGTCTCTCCAGTTCTCGGAGTTCATTCAAGGCAGTGTTCATTGTATCTTCAATATCCTGTTGAAAAATAACCAGAAAGTCGGAGAGAATAGACTAATAATCAATACAATTGTACAGACTGATGTACTTCATTTCAAAGCAAATAGGTCAGTGAAGAGTATGAATATTTTAACTTCATCACCCAAAGAGCATATGAACATAATGCCATTTTACGCAATGTTCAGGATACCAGATGTAATGGCTCATGGAGCTATATCAAACATTTGTCATTCTAAGGCAATAGAGAGCCTTGTAGTGGTTTCTACTTTGAATGCCAACTTATTTATATATCAACTTACAACGAAAGATAGCTTAAATTTAGATATTGCAGCAGTTTGTCAAGAAACATGAACAGGAATGAAAAAAAAACAGTTCATTATCCATTCATTTAATAAATAATTTTTGAGCACTTACTACTATTAACTTGGGAGCTCTGGTGGTGTAGTACCTAAGACATTTGACTGCTAACCAGGAGGCTGGTGGTTCAAACCCACCAGCCACTTCTTGGAAGGTTGGGCAATCTACTTTCGTAGAGATACCACCTCAGAAATATAGGAGGGGTCGCTATAAGTCAAATTGACTTGAAGGCAGTGAATTTGGTTTTTACTATTAAATTGATTAATTCTTAGTAGTTCTTTAAAACATAGCTTAAGCTATAGCCATAGCTTAAGCCTTCTGCTTTTATTTAGTGATCTTAATGAAAATACTACTACCCCATAGAAAGCATTTTTATAATCTGTGGTGTGTGTGTTTTTTTTTTTTTTTTAATGTCAAAATGACTAGTTGGCATCATTGATATTTGGTAGACAGGGGCCAGAGATACTAGATTCAAGTGCCCTGGCTAGTTTACAAGCAATAAACAATTGTTCCTACATCTTGTTCAACTTACCTCCAGATATTTTTAGAGGTGATAACCCGTTTATAATAACCTGAGCCGAGAACCTCTTTCCTTACCTATAAATGCAAAGTATTTTTTTGCATGATGTTGAATTTTTCCAGGAATGCGACTACTATGTAAATGGAGGGAGAACTGGACTTTGTTGTGACTGGAACTATATGAACAAGGGTTTTCTAAGATTTTGAGAAAGTCACATCACTACTGGGAACACCTTTTGTGGAATTTGAGTTAAAATCAATGAATGCTATGCTCCTGTATCAATATGCATTTTTAATTGTTGTATTTATGGTAATTCTACATATAGGTGAAATCATCTGTGTTCTCTCTCTTCTGTTGTTGTTGTTGTTGTTATGTGCCATCGAGTCAGCCCTGACTCATAGCGACCCCTCCTTGGGTTTCCGAGGCAGTATCACTACGGAAGTAGGATTGCCCAACCTTCCTTCTGAGGAGTGGCTGGTGGGTTTGAACCGCCAGCCGTCTGGTTAGCAGGCAAGTGTCTTAGCCACTATGCTACCAGAGCTCTCTCTCTTCTAGTATCGTCAAATCCAAGCATTAATGGAAATGTTTGTTTTAATATTTATCTTCATTTCTCCTTTGTATTACATTTAGAACTTTATATAATTTTTTTCAAAATAGGCACATCATCTATAAATTTATTTCAGGATGGTAAAGAGAAAATCACAAAATGGTTGTTTCATCAAATTAGGGTGTTGGGTGAGACAGGATGGAGAATCACTGCCCTAGTCTGGTAGAAATATCCCTTACCTGCATTCACCTGGCTCATGTCACTTGCCAGGAACATAATCCTTATAAAACTGCACATCAGTAATTGATTTCTCTATTTTCCCATTGGATTGTGAGCACCTTGATGCAGGGATGATGGATTTAGCTTTGCACTCATTAAGCTTAGGATGGGACCTGACATCCAGCAAGTGCTCAATAAAGGTTTATTGAATGAATAAATTGAGACCTAATGTTAAATTACAGTCTCCAATAATGAACGAACCAAGATACAATAATCACATATGGATATTGTAGTGTTTAAAAAATCACCATCAGAGATTCCATTGATTTGTTTAATGAATTTGCATGTTTTTTGTATGAACATCACGATGGCACGCTTATTTATCCTCATGGGAAAAATCTGAAGATTTGAGATGGAAAAATAAATACAGGGCAAAGCTGGAAGCCATTTTGTGAGAATGACCTCACTTTTCAAGTGATTACTTTCATATGTGATTTCCACTTGCTAATTTTTTTTTTTCTTTTTTTAAATAACAAATATCTGCCCTAGAAAGAACATGTGCAGGGCCTGGTTTATGTGGTGAATTTATTTTATTTTTTATGATTTACAAGCGAAGGAGTTCCTGGTTCTAAAAGCAAAAGGGTTAAACAGATCTTAGTATGCCTTCACACTCACAAGTTCCTTATTCCTGCTCCCCCATATACCTGCTTCTCTAACCCAAATCATGTTCACCTGCTTGTAACAGCAGCAATGTTATGGGTTTCTCAAAGCATTAAATTCAGCCACAGTCAAATATCACTGGTTCGAAGTATGCTTCAAAATGCCTTGTGTAGTTCTTTAAATATAAATAGAAAGTCAAAAGCCTGTTTGATTTTTGTCGAGAATTTGAGCATTTAAAATTGGTTTAATTTAAAAAACAAAAAAACCTAACACATTAAACCCCTCACCCAATCTAATTTCCTATCCAAGATTCTTTTTAGTTAGCATGCTGAAAATAGCTTGGAAATTTATCATGTCAGGGCAGGTTTCCTTGGATGCTTTTTATTAAAAATAATCCATCTTTGATATTTCCCCATGCGTGTTTCACTCATATTTTTGTCACTCTCTTTTTTGATGTATTAAGTTAGTTGTTAAGCTTCACTGATAGTTGGAAGATGCTTTAGAATCTATTCAAGTCCTCTGCCCCTGGCTATAAACATGTTTTCTGATGGCCTATGCTGCAAAAAGAACCAGACAATAAAATGCTAGAACAATGGTCAAATTCATTAATGGTATTTTACTTTTGTCAATTCTAATGACTAGAAAAAACTACAAATTCCTTATCCCCAGTCACTGTTGGGAAGTGATGGCATGTATGGAGTGAAGGAGGATTCAGACTTTCTTCCCTTCAAAAGGATAATCATTACTTATCACACTATTTACTGACTAATCCATTATTTTCTAAATTGAAAGTGTCAACTTTATCATACGTTAAAATTTTTCTGTTTATGGGCTCTCCATTCTGTTCCATCATCCATCTTCTTTACTGGCTTTAGAATACATTCAGTATCTGGTAGAGCTAATCCTTCCTCATTCTTCTTCTTCTTTTTAAATGTTTTCCTGGCTATTCAGCAGGGATAGGTTGCAATATCCTAGGTCTTCCATTTATGGCATGTCTCTATTTAAATCAATAAACTAAACTCACTGCTGTCGAGTCAATATGAACCTAATAATCTTGGCTCTTCCAGATAACAAATGCTTCTTTAAAGGAGATCCACAGCTAGACCTCAAAGAATGGGCTAATTTCCTTTCCTTTTTCTTCAGTTGGTCCTAACAAGAAACATAGCTATAAGATTTGAAGACAATAAATGCTTCACACCTCTTTATCATATTCTAGGTACTTAGCATCCAGTATTCTTTTGAATGCATCATACCTGAGCAATTGTCTCTGGGTCCAGTGGCTTGTGGTCATTGAAGCCTGTGTATTGCCCTGATGATGTGGATCTTCTAATAGGAGGGCTGTCAATCTTCTTGAGGGAGTCATGCCGACTGATGTTGGTCAGGCTGCCATGGCCAGGCCGGCGCCTCCTCTCAGGACTGTCATTGTTGAGGCCACGGTTCTGCAGCAAGCCCCGGGGGTGACTGCCCAGGCTTGGGGACCCCAGGTCAACTGAGGAGTTAGAAAGAGCATGTGGGGGGTGGAGGGGGCAATGGCCATCACTGGTCCTGCCAGGACGCCTTACCGGAGGGGGTGGTTCTCCTCTTTTTCTTTGTCTAGAGCCAGAGAGAAAAAATAGGGGAGCTTATCACACTGGGTAATACTGCAAGGCTGAGGGTACAGTGCTCCTCATAGCCCGTGGAGAATTAGATACTGATGAGCTGATTATGAGACTTCACTTACCTGGCTAAATAGCCATCAGGATGACGGTCTGTTGGGGAGTTCATGTCCTTGGATGAAGACTTGTCTTCAGTGACTGGCCCACTGCTGGCCTCACTGTCTGCTTTTTGGCTCAGAGTGTCTGAAAACGTATCATCCCTGAGAAAATGAGAACTAAGAGTGAGCATCTTTTGCTAGAAGATGGAGACTAAATAAATAAATTAATTAAATAAGTCATGGTATTTAGGAATCCCTGCATGGTGCAAATGGTTTATGCTCTAGTTGCTAAGTGGAAGGTTAGGGGTTCAATTCTACCCAGAGGCACCTTGGAAGAAAGGCCTGGTGATCTATGTCCAAAAATCAGAAGTTGCCATGAGTTGAAACAGACTTGATGGCAACTGGTTTTTTGGTTTTATTAATGTTCATAATTCTCTTGTTTAATGTAACTTTTTTCTTTTTCATTATAAAAACAATGCAGTTTTGCTGCAGGTAAACTGGAAAATTCATATATAGTAAAAGAATGAAAAAACAATCACCCATAATACATACTCCTGTTGGCGCAGTGCCTGAGGCATTTGACTGCTAACCAGAAGGCTGGAGGTTCAAACCTACCAGCCACTCCTCAGAAGGAAGACTAGGCAATCTACTTCCGTAAAGATACTGCCTTGGAAACCCAAGGAGGAGTTGCTATGAGTTGAATCAACTTGATGGCAGTGAGTTTGGTTTTTATAATACAACATAATATCCAGAGATAAATATACTATTATCATTTTAGAAAATATTCTTCTAGACTTTATCCGTGCCTGAGATTCAAGTCTGTAAGTGTGTACATGTGTAGGATTTATACTATAGCTACCTATATGTTTATGTACTTTAGAAGCACATAATTGCATTCTATATACTCACACACATATTTCCTAGATTCTGAGATAAATATTTTAACATTTCTAAAATCAGTCTGAAGAGCTCATCACTGTATCAGTCCATCACTGTATACATTTTATGTGATCATATTTCTCTTTTTCTCGAAATGCTACTCTTATATTGATGGTACACTGAGAAATACTGTAGTTGCAAAACTAGGATCACACTATCCATCATATTTAGCAACCTGCTTTTTCAGTTAATATGTTACCATCATCTTCCCATATTTTAAAATATTTTTGTATTATGGATTTTTCATCTGCAAAACTAGAAACAAATAAACAAAAAACCTGGAGATGATTCTCTTTAGACTCTAGACCAATATCCTCCCTCTTGGAAATATGAAGTTGAAACAATAGATAGTAACCAAGAGAAAAGAACCAACATATTTTGAATTAGTGGTGTCATTTTAGTTCTTAAAGCCATTCCCTGCATAAGTTATTTTTCTAAGAATCTGAAATGTTCAAAAGGTGTCTCCAAGTAGTCTTTGTTCTAAACCTACTGGCAAAAGTCTGGGAATGAAAACCGTCTGGTCCCTGAAGTACTGCTAAGCAAATACCCACTACCAAGGAAAGAACTGTGCTCAGTTCAGAACTTTGTCTCTGTAACCTTTTCCTCACAGGACCAAGCTCAGCTTAACAATGGCTTGAGTCCTCTATTAGAAAGAGTTAGACAATCAAAACTGACTACTTACATATCTTGCACCACTATGTACTGGTGAGGCACAAGCCCATCAATCCCATTGTGTCTGCCTTCCCACCAGTCCTCAGATGCACGGTGATACAATAGCAGGGAGGCACCCTTCTTGAAAGACAGTTCTCTGGCAGACCGGCCAACATAGTCAAACTTGGCTATTGCTTCTATTGGTTCACATTCTACAAAGAACAGACCAGAAAACAGTGAGGAGAGGGTTAGGAGGAAGGCATCATACACTATCTGAAAGGTCAATATGACGCTTTAGAAACAAACAAGGCTGTTTTAATAGCCATATTGAACAGGGTAATAAGCAAATCATGATGACAGGGAAAAATGTATGTGTGTGTGTGAGGCGCCATCGAGCTGGCACTGACTCATAGTGACTCTATGTACAACAGAATGAGACACTGCCCGGTTATGTGTCATCCTCACAATCCTTGTTATGCTTGAGCCCATCACTGCAGCCACTGTGTCGATCCATCTCATTGAGGGTCTTCCCCTTTTTCATTAATCCTCCACTTTACCAAGCATGATATCCTTTTCTAGGGAAAGATCCCTTCTGACAACATGACCAAAGTAGGTGAGACAAAGTCTGGCCATTCTTGCTTCCAAGGATCATTTTGGCTGTACTTCTTCCAGGACAGATTTGTTCATTCTTCTGGCAGTTCATGGTACTTTCGGTATTCTTCACCAACACCACAACTCAATGAAAAAGGAACACCGAAGAAGAGTTGATGCTTAACTCTTTGGTCTTCCTTATTCATTGTCCAGCTCTCACGTGCATATGAGGTGAATGAAAATACCATGGCTTGGGTTAGGCGCTCCTTTGTCTTCAAAATGACACTTTTGCTCTTCAGCACTTTAAGGAGGTGTTTTGCAGCAGATTTGCCCAGTGCAATATGATGATGTCTGATTTCTTGACTGCCACTTCTATGGGTGTTGATTGTGGATCCAAGTAATATACAATCTTTGACAACTTCAATCTTTACTCCATTTATTGTGATGCTCCTTATTGGTTTAGTTGTGAGGATTTTTTTTTTTTCTTTTTGTTGAGGTGTAATCCACACTACAGACTGTAGTCTTTAATCTTCATTGGTACATGCTTCAAGTTATCTTCACTTTCAGCAAGCAAAGTTATATCGTCTGCTTATCGCAGGCTGTTAATGAGTCTTCCTCCAATCTTGATGCTGTGTTCTTCTTCACGCAGTCCAGCTTCTCGGATTATTTGCTTAGTGTACAGATTGAATAAGTATGGTGAAAGGATACAACCCTGACACACACACCCTTCCTGATTTTAAACCATGCAGTATCCCTGTGTTCTGTTCCAACAATAGCCTCCTGGTCTACGTACAGGTTCCTCATGAGCACAATGAAATGTTCTGGAATTCCCATTCTTCTCAACGTTATCCATAATTTGTTATGATCCACACAGTAGAATGCTTTTGCATAGTCAATAAAACACAAGTAAATATTTTTCTGGTATTCTTTGCTTTCAGACAAGACCCATCTGACATCAGCAATGATATCCCTTGTTGTACATCCTCTTCTGAATCCAGCTTGCATTTCTGAAGTTCCCTGTCAATATACTGCTGCAATCATTTTGAATTACCCTCAGCAAAATTTTACTTGCATGTGATATTAATGTTATTGTTTGATAATTTCCACATTCTGTGGGATCACCTTTCTTCAGAACGGGTACAAATAAGGATATCTTCCAGTCGTTTGGCCAGGTAGCTCTCTTCCAAATTTCTTGGCATAGATGAGTAAGTGCCTCCAGCATGGCATCCATTTGTTGAAATATTTCAATGGGTAGGCCATCAATTCCTGGAGCTTGTTTTTCACCAGTTCCTTCAGTGCAGCTTCAACTTCTTCCTTCAATACCACTGGTTCTTGATCATATGCCACCTCCTGATATGCATGAACATCCATTTTTTGGTACAGTGGCTAAGGCATTTGACTGCTAACTAGATCTCCTTGGAAGGAAGATAGGGCAATCTACTTCCATAGAGATACCACCTTGGAAACCCAAGGAGGGGTCACTATGAGTTGAATCGACTTGATGGCAGTGAATTTAGTGTTTTTTGTTTTTAATTTGTAATTTTATGGAGGTCTGGTGGCATAGTGCCTAAGGCATTTGACTGCTAACCAGAGGTTGGCGGTTCAAACCTGCTAGCCACTCCACAGAAGGAAGATTGGACAATCTACTTCTGTAAAGATTTACCAGCTTGGAAATCCAATGGGGGTTGCTATGAGTCGGAATCAACTCGATGGCAGTTTTTTTTTAATTGTATTTTTATTGACTGCATATAAAATCCTTGGCTGGGCATACATGAAGTTCAAACCTTCTCCATACATGTAGGGCAAAAGCATAAAAACAAACAAACATATTGGAAAAGCTTAGGTTTTACCTTATCTGAAGAGCCTAGGTGAATTTCAGCTAAACTAAACATTTTAACTAAGCACAAAGAAAAATGCCTCATTGTTTTCAGAATTTGCTAGTGGGTACTGTTTGAAGTGAGTAGTATTTTATATTGCAGAACTGCAACATGGTAATCTCCATGCAGTACAGTTTCTGGAAAAGTAGTTGCATACATAATTTTGAAAACAATAGTTTGAATTCTTTAGAAATTGACCAATTTTTCAATCATACCTTAACACTTTGGTAATTCCCTCCTAAAGTGATACTTTCTTTATTGAAACAATATAACGCACAGCTTATTAGATATCTACAAGGAGTAAGTATGACTACATTTAAAGGGAATGACTTTATAGTTCTAAACTTGTAGATAAAGAATAAATCCTGGTTGATCTGAAATGACAGATAACCAAAATTTACCCCTGTTCTCCCTGGGAAATAGAAATAAACATGTCCATTGCGTAGGGAATGGAAATAAACGTGCCTGGAGGAAAACATGCCGATTTCTTTAAAACCAACTCAGTGGCATGCAATTTGCAATATATACTTATTTATTTATATTTATATTTGATTTTGCTAAAAAATTTAAAAGATATCAGAACATGACACAGCAATAATCTGCATACTTGTCAAAAGGAAGTAGAGAACTATCAATGTTCTTTAATGCCATTCAATTATACACTGTCAATATTGGCCAAGGACTATTTAAGACTATTTAGTAGAATTATCTATCAATCTATCCATATGTATAACATCATAATTTCATAATCATGACCTTTATGATAATCATCTCTTCCTTTTATTTTTTGAAACCATTAGCAACAGGATTATCAAACTCTAATTTCATTCAAATGAAAAAGGTGCTCTGGTGGCATAGGGCTTAAGGCATCTGACTACTAACCAGAAGGCTGATGGTTCAAACCCACCAGACAGTCCACAGAAGGAAGACTGGGCAATCTAGCTCCGTAAAGATTTACTGGGAAACCCAAAGGGGTCTCTGTGAGTCAGAATCGAGTTGATGGCAGGTGAGTTTGGTTTTTTTAATTTCATTCAAATGTGAAGAGGTGATGACAGAAAGACAAGAAGAATCAGATATGCATTTGATCGGCAATCCTAGTACATCAACAGGTAAGTCTCAGCAATTTCATTATTTTCATTCTTTCTACTCCTATGAGAGCCATTTCACAGTCAAGTGTCAATCAATAATCTATTTATACAAATTTTAATCTATACTGCAGAGCAAATATATCTCAGGGTGTGGTAGCGCACCACATCTCATTCATATGGAGAGTTTCACAACCCTTAAGGTCTTGTGTAGACTTTGTGGAGCGCTGCCAATGATATCAATAACAGTAATAGTGTGTTGTTGTTGTTGTT